ACCTTAAAAATGACGTATAGTTCTATAAAATATGTCGAAAATTAATGAAACTTTGGTTTAATTTTTGTATACATCTCCTCGATAAAAACTGTGGTCGCAGAAGGACTCTTTTCTTGCACAAGAACGGGATTCCCCTTGACCTGTTTGGCTTATAAATAGAGAAGGCCGTGCCACGACCTTACTTGCGGTATATGAAGAAGTAAAAACGGATACTGATTCAAAGCAAACAATCAACGGGCTTGCAGTTTTGAGTAACAGGAACTTTTCCAGACATCAAATTACACGCATATCAAAGACAGATGTGCGTAGGTACATAAGTATTTGAACACATTTCATCGAGTAAAATAGAGTATTTCATGTTTCATGGTATGGCTAGCCATTATCCAACTTTTTAGTTCATTAATATTGTAAACACAGAACCCGTAACAAAGGTACTCGGATAACTGTCACGTAACCTGGTTCTTGTGGGATGCAATTTTTCGTTAAATTGAAGCCCCACCCTGGCTCTTGCAATATAGCCCGGCCATAAATATGGTCTAATAGCTGAACACGGTTTCAGGGACCTCTCCACGGGTGATCTTCCTCCACGTGGTGGCACTTTGTGTCATTGGGTGTTTATCGCTTGTGTGATGTCCTAGTTGGGTAAAATTTACTACTACTATAATGATATTATCTGTACTTGCGGACATTAGTTTTCTAATTTTCAAGTAATTGTTTTATTATCTTCACAAATGTTTCCATCTTTTTAAGGGAGCCGCACCGTTGTAACGCCTAGACGCTGACAAAAGTATCGGGAAGGTCGCTGGATGCGGTCCTGACGGAGCCAGCAAAAATGACACTGGCTCCCAGGTCAACCCGGCCTTACATCGTTACCATGTAACGTCCTGGCAAGTAAAGGCGGGCGGCGCGATGTTTACCACATCACCTACCGAGTGCTGATTGATCTATAAAATATACGTTTAGCCCTATAAGCCCAATACGCCTCAAGGCGTGGACAAAGGTCACTTATTTACTTTACATACGGTGTGTGTACCTGGCTAAGAGAGTGCAGAAAACTGCGTCTTATCAAAAGTGATTTGTGAGTGACATCAATCTGAAAACCTGGGAGAAGATAACTAAACAGTGTTATCATGTGTAGAAATGTCGCTCTTGTGAAGTGCGACTACTCTGGCCCCACACATATAGGTGTGCTTTTTATGATAAGTTTTATTTGTGTGTGTGTGTGCATCAAACTGATAAACTGAACACAGAGCGAAGTATTTAATCTGTAGACTACTCGAATGAGGTACATGTTGATTCCTGAATCAAGGAGATCATTAGTGGCTTTTATTATTAATCTGTAAATAACATCCCTGTGTATCAGAGGTGTCCAACGCTTTAACCGTGACCACTGGTCGTAACCGTGACCACTGGTCGTAACGTTGACCACTGGTCGTAACCGTCAGAGTCAGCCCGCGCTGATCTTCATTGTATTTTTCTGTTCATTTCAGAAACCACTGGTGGACTACTTTATAGATTTTATCTAGGGTTCTTTTATTTTATTTCACCTCATCCCCGAGATTTCATAGGGAATTTCCGGGAAAGTCTTATATTATGGGTGGGGATGTGGTTAGGGTTAATGTTGGTCGTTGTTCCTTTCACACCTCAACACCCCTATACTGTTGGACTTTCCCGAGATAGGGGTGAAATAAACGAAAAGAACCCTATATTTCTGGTGGAGTGCTGACAACTGACCGAGTCTTTTCATCTAGAAAGGACAAAACAATAAATGTTTCAGTCTGTGGTCAGTATTCCCCCATCTTTCGCCTGAAATCCTAAAATACTCCTGCATCCCGTTAGAATGTCCCTCATATAAGAAAGAGTCACTGCTTGCAATCAATGTAGAATGTAGAATTGGTGAACCTCTGCGTAGGTTAGCTAGGTGAAGCTTTCAGGCACCATGTTACTATCTGAAAAAGATTAGACTACAATGTCTCACATTCCTTGAAAACATTTACTGACGTGCCTTTCATTATTTTACTATTTTAATAAAAGATATGCTCACTGAGTCTGTCACTCTCAATGTGCGAGTTACTTTCTTCTTCTTCTTCTTCGTGTTCACCATCTGTACACTCTGGTGGAAAGTTCTGGCTTTTCGTCCACTTCTGAACTGCAGTCCTGCTCCGGAACCTGAAAGTTGCGTGTGCATCAGTTTTACAGATCTGATTTACTTGAACCAGACTGTTGGTTCCTTGCCTCTCAGACAGATGCACTCCAACTTCAAAGGAAGCTCCCCAGTTAGTCGACTCTTACGACATGCTTTTGGGTAGGCAGAGGGTCTATTATTGTTTTCCCCGGAACCCACACGGGGAGAGTTGCTTTCTGTTCCGCCAGCCATGCAAGTGCATCTCAATGAATTAATGGTGGAATCCACTTGGAATCCACTTGGAATCCAGGTGGATTCCACTGGAATCCATTTGACTACAAAGCTTGGAAAAAGTCTCACACCACTTGATAACATACTGATGTACCTGTTACTTGTAAACGTATTTGTGTGTGTGTGTGTTTTGTTTTGTTTTTCTTAAAATTAATACACATATTATTGTGTGTGTCGTCTCCACAATGGAGATTGAATGAGCTGCCCAGTACTCTTATTTGGAATTATTACGTGGTAAGGCTCCTGAGAGGCAAGGAACCAACAGTCTGCACACAAATAAGCCAGATCTGTAAAACGGATGTGCACGAAAAAAATACAGGTTCTCGATCAAGACCAAAGTCCAGGGGTGGACGAACAACCAAAGCTTTCCGTCCGAGTTTACAACCGGTGAACGCTAAGACGAAGAAGAACAAGAACAAGAAACTCTGGTATGTCGAATGTATGCCCTTCCCTCACCCCCCTCCCCTCCCACCCCAACTTTCTCTCTGTCACACTGTTTCTCTTTTTTTCTCTCTATCTCTCTATGTCTCTCTGTATATCTCTCTATCTCTCTCTACTCTCTCTCTCTCTCTCTCTCTCTCTCTCTCTCTCTCTCTCTCTCTCTCTCTCTCTCTCTCTCTCTCTCTCATAAGGCTTCTATATAATAAGGCACACCACGAACCCACACTTGGAAAAGATATTTTATAAACACAAAACCCAGATTAAAGGAATACTTAATATGAAACACAGAGATAGTTTACTGAATATTTACCTTACTGCATTGATAACCCGGGCGTAAATTCGAGCACTTTACAACCGATAGCCTGATAACATTAACAACCACGCACTTTGTTTTAGGTTGTACATTATTTGTAATTATATCTGTCACTGCACCAGTTTGCGGCGTCCGTGGCTAAGGCGTTGCGAGTCCGACTCGTAAGCCAGCATACCGCGATCGAAACCTGCGTGGGCTGCGTGGATTTTTATCGTGGTATGGGACGTCGCAGGTCGACCCAGCCTAAAATGGGTACCAGGATGGGCTGTCCTGGGAAAGTAAAGACAGCCGGCGTAATGCTGACCACATTACCCACAGAGTGCTGATGGTCTGTAAAAATATGGGACGCTCTGCCCATATGCCCGATGCGCCGAAAGGCGTGAAAAGGGATCTTTACTTTTTTACTTTTACTGCACCAGTTTACACACTATCTGGTTCACACCTTTTCACTATGTGTGTGTATCTTCTCCTTTCTTTGCGTTCACCGGCTGTAAATTCTTCCGGAAAGTTCTGGTTGTTCATCCACTTCTAGACTGTAGTCCTGTTCCAGAACCTGAGTGGTTACCTGGGTGTTTATGAGAATCGTTATATTTAATTTTCTACACACTATCTTGGCTAAACGCTCTCTTACGGATCGGAAACGTGAGGGTTTGGTTCCTAGCCTTGAATGGGTACCAGGTGCAGTTATGGGAAGTAAAAGCGGTGGGTGTGGTGCTGACCACATCACCCACCAAGTGCCAATTGATCTATAAAATATAGATCTAGCCCTATATGCCCAATACGCCTTAAGGCGCGGAAATTATCCTTTGCTCTTATTTACTTGCTGTTGTTGTTGTTGTTGCTGTTGTTGTTTGTCCATAACAAGTGATGACGTCCATCACCATTGGATTAGGTTTTATGAGTGCGCAGATGGCAGATAAGGTCAATTCTAGCACTGAAAGTTCTTGAGCAATGTGGACAGGGAATAGAAGCCGCACATCTCCTGTTTACTTACACACTATCTGGTATACACCTTTCCAAAATGTGTGTTTATGAGAATTGTTATATTTAACTTTCTATATATTAAAAATAATAATGACTGTGTGAAAGGGTTTAAAAATAATAATGGTAATAAAACTGTATCAGAATGTGTTTTCTTCCTATTTGCAAATCCTTAATTGTTCCGTTAACATCACACCAAGGCCTTTATGTAGGGTCTTTAGAAATCTATGATTTTTTGTTGTTGTTGATTGCTTGTTAAGCATATATATCCCTCTATCTCTTCCCTCTTTCTCCCCCTTCACCTCTCTCTCTCTTCCTCCCTCTCTCTTTATTCATCAGGAACGCTAATATGTTGGTGTGCCTCATAAATATAATTTATCCTTTCTTGCTGTTTTAATAAATATTTACAGGACGTTGCAGAACCCAAGAGACCACGGCTGTTGTTTTGGTTTCTCTAGACAAATTTACGTCCAGTAGTTTGCCATTGCTTTCTATACGGTCGGTTTTCTTGATACCACTCTCGAAACCAACGCAAGGCGCATTGCCCGCAGCTGGGATCGATCCCGACATTACGAAGCGTTCGCATCGACTTAGCCACAGAGCCGACAGCTATCGGTATTTTCATGTTTTTTTTTTTTTTTACTATACCCCTTTTATAATAAAAAAATCGCACACTTAGTTTCATCCGACAACTCCCCCATTTCATAACTCATTGCATACCCTTTCATTAGTCATTTCCTATCATATGCTCACAATCGAAACTTACTATATAACATTTCTTATTCTAAATTTGTCAATGACGATCGAATCTTTAGGCACTTATTTATTGCCAAATCTGACTACTTCTGTTTAGATTTTTCCATATCCGCTGCGCCGACCACATGTAAACGTAAATATGAAGCCATCCTGAAAATGAAACAAACAATAATAATTAATAGAAATTCCCTATTGTAATAAAAAAAATTGTAAAAAGCTTTAAACGACCTGGCAGTAGTTAGTTAGCGATAAGTTGTGTTAGTTGCTTTAGTTTAAGATTTTCAGCAGTTCTTTCTCCTACCTCCTCCTCCTCCTCTTCTTCCTTCCGTTCTTTTCTTCTTCTTCTTCTTCTTCTTCTTCTTCTTCTTCTTCTTCTTCTTCTTCTTCTTCTTCTTCTTCTTCTTCTTCTTCTTCTTCTTCTCCTTCTCTTCTTCTTCTTCTTCTTCTTCTTCTTCTTCTTCTTCTTCTTCTTCTTCTTCTTCTTCTTCTTCTTCTTCTTCTTCTTCTTCTTCTTCTTCTTCTTCTTCTTCTTCTTCTTTTTCTTCTTCTCCTTCTACTTCTTCATCTTCTCCTTCTTCTTCTTCTCCTTCTTTTTCTTCTCCTCTTCTCTTCTCCAGCTCCTCCTCCCTTCTCTTCTTCATCTGTTTCCATTCGACTACCATGGCACTCGTTTTCTTCTCTTTTTCATTTCTTCATATTTCCATGATGATTAAAACACCATATGTTTTTCCATAATTTCAAAGAGTTCCTATTTAATTTCAGAGAACTTTTTTTTTAAGCGGACCTGTAATCAGAAGAGGATGCCGCAGTGTCGTAGCGGCTGGGTGCTTACTGAAATGCTTGAGTTCAAATCCGCATGTAGTCAGACTTTTTTAAAAAATGGCCTTGCCTCACAGGTCGACCCAGCCAAAAATAGGTACCAGGTAAAGTCTTGGGAAGTATAGGCACCGTATGTGGTTAGTCTACACAATATATGTCTAGCACTATATACCCAATAGACGAAGGGGGGTGGAAAAGGGCCCTTACTCACTTTAGTTTGAGAAAAGAGTCAAGCCGTTTCCTTCGCGCGCTAAAGTTGTCAATTAATCACGTGGTTCCACTTGTGCCTTTTGTTTCCATGGAGCTTGATCAAATCTGGAGCAGGGGTGAAGATCTTACCTTTACAAGTCTCTCTTTCTCTCTCTCTCTCTCTCTCTCTCTCTCTCTCTCTCTCTCTCTCTCTCTCTCTGTATGTGTGTGTATGTGACGGAGGTGGTAGTAGTGTTGGTAGAGGGAGGGTAATGGAGAGAGAAACAATAGATGCAAATACAGGAAGCTCAACAGCAAGGCAGGCAGTAGACAACGGATTGATTGTTGACCAAAATACTCTAATAATAGGTCTTCAAAGCAACGCAACGGTTATGCCGAGGACAAACGAAGTTCTTTTATGTTACACAATTATTAAATAAGTGCACAACAATTCATATATTACCCTGACGAGACCAGGAAACGCCGTCCACAGAGAAACATTGGGTATCCTTTCTCTCCCTTGTGCTTTCCTCACGGCGACTTGGAATATGGTCCCGAACAGAATGTATAAAACAGCCACGGATAAAAATCTGCATTTAGAGAAATCACAAAGCGTTATTACTCCTATAGAAGCTTACGTATCGTAGAGCTGTGTTTTTCTGTCTTGATTTACCCTCACGCAGGAAAACAACCAGAATCTTTATTGGCAGACAGGCTGACGACTAAAGTAGAATACGTTTTTCTTCTTCGCGTTCATTGACTATAAACTCTGGCGGAAAGTTAAGGTTGTTCATCCACCTCTTGACTTTAGTCTTGTTCTAATACCTGAATAATGCGTATATAACCGTTATACAGATCTAAGTTCTCTGTATGTAGATTGTTGGTTCACTGCATCTCAGGCAGATGCACTCCGATTTTGAAGGAAGCTCCAAATTTGACTTATACGACATGTTTATTTGGGAATCAGTGAGTCTATACTTGTCCCACTCACCCTTTTTACACTGGGCGCGTAACCCATACAGAGATAAAGTAGAATTAAAAACAGATGTAAATAACCAGGAATGAAATTTTGCGCCGTTTTTAAGACAGACATTATCTTTAGTGCATTCATTGCCAATACCCAAATGGAGGTAGACCAAGAACAAGATGGAAGGATAACATCAGAGAAATTCTACAACAGCACGATGTGCCTATGGTCGAGGCGGCCAGAAGAGCTAGAAACAGAACCTTATATCTCCCCCGACACTCATAGCGGTAAAAAAAGAAGTGAAGAAGAAGAAGAAGATTGTCAATACTAAGTCTTGAGGCTCCAAACTTGTGCATAGTGCAACTCTCGTGCGACTGTTCTAAAAACCACAGGAACTTCTACTGCTAAATAGTGGGCCATATAAATCTAATTCTAATACGTCGGAGATCGAACTGTGCATTAGTACCTTTAAGTTACTGAGATGCAATGAATGTAAGTAGCATTTTATGAAATTAATTTTAAAAAATTGAAATTGTTAACTAATACGATATATGTTACTACTTAGAGGTTGAAAATCAGATTTACGTGAGGCGATTTTCTGAGAGGAGAAGCGCTGCAATAACATCTATTTGATATTTTAATTATTATTACTGGCATAGCCTATATTCCCGACGCTACATGGTCGCGTGCAGTATCTTATTTGCAAAGCAGTAATGTAGCATTTGGGTGATGATGCCGCTATTTGATTAGACAGAAATTTTGGCGGGCTATAAAACTGGAGAACACAGACAAATATTTGTAATAAAAACCAGCATACATTTTCAAGGCAATATCAGGAGACAACAACTGTTAGTATCTATACCAAGAGCTCAAAATATGCAGAATTATTGTGTGGATAACCTACTAAACAGCCACACTATGGGATTAGACAGCATACAATTTTTATGGCAGGAATTATAAAAAAACCAACGTGTTAGGAAATTAGTGGTTACAAAATACGCCTATGGTTTGTGCAAACCTGATTCGTTTCATGGTATCGAGTTTGCGGATGTTTACACAATTATGAAAACAATGATGTCCGCCACCCTGATATTAGGACTGTCGAATCATGACTTATCTTGGCACAGTGAAGAAGGTAATTTGTCAGTTATTTCCTTCATAGCGGTAGCGAAACTAGACAATCCACATGATTTTATTTGATTATGTCATGAGAAGAAGTAATCGTGACATGTGGGGGAAGGGGGGGGGGAGTTGGAGGGGGAAAAGGCAGAGAGAGGAAATGCTGGACAGTTTGACCCTATTGCACGGAAGATCATCTGTTGGTGAGATGTCTTACTTATCCTTTGATAGAGGATGTCCTTATGCCTGTGGGAAAGCCTACGCTTATCGACAGAACAAATAATGGTGATGATGGTCTTCCTATGGTAGTCTTTCAGACATGCAGATTTTTCACGTTAAAAAATTGGAAATAGGGAAGAGTATATGGAGATTTCAGTGCGTAATGAGAGAGGGGGAAAAAAACATTCATTTCAAAAAAAAAAAAAAAACCAGACTTACATTATAACAATCAAAGTTCCTGGGCTGATAGAACTGGAGCTGCTAGGTACATAATTTGGACAACAAGCATCCGATACGAAATTGAAGTGCTGTGGATGGTTCAAAGTTCAAACCTATTTAACAGTAAACAGCTGTGGGATTATGAAATAAAGCAAAGTGAAAGTCATTTTACACAGCAGTTACGGAGCGAGCATATTATCACCCTTGACCCATATTTTTATAAGCCAGACAGCACTCTATGCGTTGAGGTCAATACTACGGCGGCCGCCTTTATTTTCCGATACATTTCTAGGTGTCCAGTTTAGGCTGGGTCGACCTGGAAGCCAAGATGAGGTATTTTTTCTTTATTTTTAAATCCGTCCTGATGTGGTTTGGAACTCAAGGCCCCAGGACCCAACAAGCAAGCGTTAAGGTACCATCAGGGATCCTGTGGGATTATATAATTGTAGATTACAAACCATTAGTACTTATACCACCATGGTTGCCTGGACGCTGATCTCCTTCTGGTATAATATATTTAATTGACTCTCACCCCACAGAAGGACGATTAGGAAACATCGCTGCTGACATGACCGGCCGGGAAGACTTTCAGTTCGTTGTCAATTTCCGCATGTCATATACTCGTATTTTGATTTTTTAAAAATATTTTAATGTAATAATACCTGAGCCCATTTTCATGTTAGTAGATCCCAATTCTTTGAAAAATTTCGTCTGCTGATATTTGTTTTCCAGATACATGGCTGGTTGGTTTAGAAAATTTGTTTATTTTCTCCGAGTTCTCAGAGTCAGTTATTAAAACTTGGAAAATATATCCTACATAAAATGTTGATAAATTTATAAGAATTATATCTAATCATAAATTGTACGTTGCTTAAATGATAGGATAATAAAATATCAAGAATTCACACACTGCTTACCGAAGCGTTAACATCAGTATATTTATAATTATATGATCAGAACAACCCACAATAGAATACAGGCTACTTCTCAACCCTTCTGTGGGACCATAATATATTCGCTATATATTTGTACGGCTGAACGGGGATTCTGGCATTTGTAGCTGTATGTTTGATTCTCATCATCTCAGACTGGGTTCATTGACCTCTGAACCATGTGTTATAGCTACAGCACTGCCACACGGATTTGCAATTTCACCTGTACTGTTTAATGTTTTACGAGCAAGATTGCACACCTGGAAACACCTGGAGTTGGCAGAATGTTGACATTTGCAGATGATGTCCTCGTATATAGGAAGGGGAGAGATCAGAATCAATTAGCTCAAGAGTTAATGGCTACAGTAGATAAAATGATCAACTGATGTACAGAGATGAATGCTGTAATCAACCCAGAAAAGGCAACCGTCCTGTGGTGTTCTTTGGACAAAGGATTGTTAGAGCTAATGTTCTCAGACTCAAAGTAAATAGCAGGGACATCAAAGGAGACAGCAGACCGCGGTACCTGGGAATCACATTTGTCAGAAGTTTGTCTTGCAAGGATCACATAAAGGGGGTTGTGACAAAGGCTCGAAAAGGTCTTAATGCATTTAAGATTATGACAGCGATGGACATGGAGCAGAGAATGCTGTTCACACTTCACCAGCACTTAATCATCTGGAACAACGGTAAGCACAATGTAAGTAAATCGTTTCGTAGAACGTCGACGAATTAAATGGTTTTGTCAACTGGTAAGAATGGAACAAAATCAGTCGGCATCTACAGCAGCTGTTCTCAACCTGCCGGTCGCGACTCTTTTTTTTTTAAGGGGGGGGGGGGGGGGGGGGTCAAACGACTCTTTCACAGAGGTGGTCTAAGACCATCGGAAAACATATATTCATTGAAATTATAAAGGAAAATAATTGTTTGTGGATCGCAACAACATAAGGGAACTAATAAAGGGTCGCAACAACATGAGGGAACTAATAAAGGGTCGCAACAACATGAGGGAACTAATAAAGGGTCGCGGCATTAAGAAGGTTGAGAGCCACTGATCTAGAGCATACCATATGAGAACAGCAGGCTAAAAGTAATGAGGCTGGTATGGGGGGAGGGGTTAAAAGATATACTTCAGAAACGCAATATGATATTAACATGAACTAGACAAAAAGCAGAAGATCGCATGTTACACCCTTTCTCTCTCTCTCTCTCTCTCTCTCTCTCTCTCTCTCTCTCTCTCTCTCTCTCTCTCTCGCTCTCTCCCTCTCTCTCTCGCTTTCTCTCCTTCCCCCCTCTCTCTCTCTCTCACTCTCTCTCTCTCGCTCTCTCTCTCGCTCTCTCTCTCGCTCTTTCTCTCTCGCTCTCTCTCTCCCTCTCTCTCTATCTCCCTCTCTCTCTATCTCCCTCCCCTCTCTCTTTCTCTCGCTCTCTCTCCCCCCCCCTCTCTCTCCCTCCCTCTCTCGCTCTCTCTCCCTCCCTCTCTCTCTCGCTCTCTCTCCCTCCCTCTCTCTCGCTCTCTTTCTCTCCCTCCCTCCCTCTCGCTCTCTCTCCCTCCTCTCTCTCTCTCGCTCTCTCTCCCTCCTCTCTCTCTCTTCCTCTCTCGCCCTCCCCCTCTCTCTCCCTCCCTCTCTCTCTCTCTCGTTCTCTCTCTCCCTATCTCTCTCTCTCTCTCTCTCTCTCTCTCTCTCTCTCTCTGCAGTAGGACAAAAGAAGAAGAAAGTACAGTCTACATAACATTAGCCCCCTTTACTTCCCAGAACATTCTATGGTACACACTTAACGCTAGTTCTCTTGGGAACATATAACAAGGAGTTCGAATACGTGAGCCCTCGTGGAGCCTGATAGCAAATGTGCTTCAGTGGCTTAAAATTGAATTTATAATTTTAAAATAAAAATAAAAAATCAGAAATGCTGTTTTCCTCATGGACTAAAGTCTGACAGATTGACGCCAACTGACCAAATGAGTTACTTCTCGTATGTAAAGACAACGGGACCAAATCCAATGCACCCTGTCTAACTGTATGAAATGGTTGTATAATGTTATTATACTTGCTTTTATAAGTGGGTGGGTCAAGAAACTATACAAATAATATGTTATTTAGTGAAATATTGCATAAGAGTATAGTGAAGTACTTACGAAAGTATATGTTGGACTTTCACTCACAAACTGAAAGTCTGTGCTGGATCCGCAGAAACACTTCACGACACTTGTCCTGAGGAGTGTTCACATAAAGTTGATTAATAGTTTATTTGAATCATAACTGCAGCCTCTGGGCAAATCTATCGCGGGAGTCCACACATTGTGCTGACCCTATTTGTAGATGTCAAACATGGTTGTAATAACACGGGCTGCATTCATATATTTCTTTGGTATACAACCTTTGTTTGGAATACGACCCGGGTGCTAGAACTTGTATGAGTCAAAATTAGTTACGGTACCGCGCTCTCTCCTTGTTTACCCCTCTCCAGACAAAGCCACGAATAGATGTCAATGACGTTGCAGGAAAATGCCCCAACCAAAGCCCAAACAAGTATCATATTTCAGAAATATCCTGAGGAGAGGGCAGAAGCAAAGTTCTTTGGACAGATTTTGAGTTAAAGTCTAACTTGACGAGCCGTAACCGTGTCCAAAAACGAAAAAAAGTTAAAGAAAATAGGTCAGATAAAAAACACACCCGAATTTCAGATTCCTGAAGTGTTACTGGAAGGGGACTCTCCTACCAAACAATAACACCTGCTCCTCCTCATCCTCCCTTCTCAGCACCATCCTGAAAGGCACTCGACTCTTCAGAGGAAGATAAAGTGGGGTTAAATTTGCATTTATTTAAAAAAAAATTGCTTTTGTGTTTATATATTTTAGCATTAGGCAGTATATAAATTATTTTACACAGTCCCATAAATGTGCAGTATGTCAAAAACAATCATCATCATCATGATGTGCCCTGCCAAGTGGCACAGGCGCTCATGCGTCTTCACAGATCACGATTTCTGGTTGCCTGGAACAGCTCTCTTGATATCCCTCCATGCTATCGTTTCAGCCCATTCAGCATCATCTCTCTTGGTCTGCCTCTTTTCCCACTGATCTTTCCAGTTGTCACGGTGTTCTCCAATGTCTCTCTTCCAAAGAACAGCTTTTGTCTCTTATATATAGAGAGATCTACTTTCATTAGTCTCTTTCAAACAATCGTTGTTAGCTTCTCTAGCCGTCCAAGGTACTCGTAACATTCGTCTCAGAAACCATATCTCTGTTGCTTCAAAATTTTCTTAATTTGTTCACTAACATTCTAAGATTCGCTGCCGTACAATAGAACAGGTTCAATGTAACACTTTAGCCCCCTTTTTCTAAAATTAAATGAGAGCGATTTATTGCATAAGATATTTTTTATTTTCTGAAATGCAGCTTTCGCTTCACCTATTCTGCTTTTAATCTATGTAACATATTTTCCATCTGAGGATATGATTGTTCCCAGATATTTGAATTTTTTTAATTGGTTAAGTCTTTCTCCTTCAGTTGAGATATCACAACGTGGAGTTATCTTCTTCCTTGGTATAACCATTACTTCTGTTTTCTCAATATTCAATGAAAGTTCTTTCTTAGCACTCTCCACCCCCACAATGTCCAGCAGTTGTTGTAAATCTGTTTGCATTTTCAGCAAAAACAATAGGATTTTTTAAAGGGAAATGATTCTTCATTCTGTTTTTATTTCTTATGATAAAATTAGTTTGGTATACGTCCTGTTTTTACGTCGAAGCATCTGGAACGGATTAAGTACGTATACCAAAGTACGACTGTACAATTCTAACTCCGTTCCACATCTGTATGCTATCAGGGAGATATTTTTAACATGAACTAAAAAATGGTGAGACTTTCGATATGACTCTGTCGTAGAAACTATGTACTTTTAGCAAAGATGCCTACACAAATTGTTTTTGTTGACACCATGTGGGACTGACCACATTAAAGAGCTTCTACGTCAATACCGAATGACAAAAACCATTGCTGGCTGTCAAGCAATGCATCAAAAACTGTTCTCCCAAATTTGCTTAACGGCACAAGTGGAAATTGCTGTTGATGAGTTGAGTTGAGTTGAGTTGAGTCAAGAATTGACACCAGAGCACTCGGGCCATTTCCATGCGTGCTGCGTCCTCATCTACACCAGCCAGCGCAGAGTTCCAATACTGATTGCACCGGTCACAATAGTGTTTTATGTCCGTCTTGCCTTTCCTCTGCGTGTAGTGAGCCGGCCAGACCCTCTGGTTATACCCAGGTGCCGCATTGCTGTTGATGATGTTTTAGTTAGTACCTTGAACTGTAGCAAAGGCTATGAGACTTCTCCTTAGCTTTAGTTCTTAAGCTGAATGTGACTGCATGTGTTGATTTCGTTACATATCTTTATACAGGGCTGTCTATAATGTTCTCTTAGCTGCATTATCTCTTTACCTATTTATTTTGTTTTACTCACCACCAGGACATCACAAAGAGCGATAAACACCCGGTCACACAAAGTGCCATCATGCAGATGAGGATCAACCGTGGAGAGGTCACAGAAACTGCGTTCAGTCTTTAAATTATGTTGCCCCCCCCCCCCCCCCCGGCAAAAGCCAGGGCGGGGCTTTAAAACAAAAAACGAAAAATTGCGTCACACAAGGGGACGACTTCAGCTTACAAACTCTTTACTTACCTCCAGTTTTTAATAGCAAGAACTTAATTGAAACCATTGTATGTAAAACTGGTTTCGAAAAAGGCTAGTAGGGTAGAAGAGAAAAGGTGATGAGTAGATAAGAATGGACAGGTAGAGGTTGCCCTTGTGTGGCCTTATGAGACTAGATAATCGTTGTAACGGTCTGTTGGTAAAGAGCACGGGATTGGCGGTGGAGGGATTCGGGTCAGATCACGAGATTGAATTGACAGTCCGAGGAAGACTGGCCGACCATAAAACACGCAGAATGAGACAGGGAACCTCTGAAACTGAGTGAGGTTCAACCCACCAGGACTGCACCAAAAGCGATTAACACCCGTTGACACAAAGTGCCACAATTCAGATGAGAATCCCCCGTGCACAAGTCCCAGAAACCCTTTTCAACAGTAAGGTTATATTAGGCCTCTGACGACAGCCAAGCTAGGGCTTTACAATAACCAAACAATTGCGTCCTGTATAGGGGCAGAATTAACTTTCTCAAATTGGCCTTGTTAAAAAATAAAATGTGTTGCAAATATGGTGCTTTATCGTGTATTCATAATTATAGAAGTGGAAATAGTTATAAACTCAAGACCAGCTCCACCCATGTGCACACTAGGTCACCTTTTATTGATGCTTGTTCAAGCTGGTCCACGTTGCTCAACGTTACAGGGGTGTCCCAATCTACTGCTGTAGATTGCACTCTTTCGTGGGACCTATGTTCAGTGTGTTGGGGGAAGGGGGTGTTGTTTGGGTTAGAGCCAGTTGTACGTGTTATGGGATCGTTAAAGGCGCTTAAATTCTGTAATATAGCGCACGTGTGGTCGCCGGTAGGAGCGACAACCAAGCCTTCGTTTCTGCCGGTTCTTTTGTATTACTTCATCACAAATGACGTCACGGAAACAGTCGAATGTTTTATAGGGTGGTAAGACCGGGTTTCCCGGCTTTGTGGTGCTTCTAACAACTCCAAAACATCTAGAACTGGACCTAACCCCAACTCATGTACGTCCCACGAGAGAGTGCAGCCTGGGTCCCACGACTGCATGCAGCCTATCTACCCCCACCCCTCCCCCCCCCCCGAAATATTGAAATGTCTGTTTAGGGTGAATAAAAACAAAAGCACCTCCCTGCCACTTACACATGCGCGTCTCACAGGTTAGGACGGAGACCAATTACAGTTTCCTGGCCAGACTCAATCATAAGTTTGCAGATGGGGGAAGCACGGCTCTCTAGTGTAGTTGGCTAAGCCGGATTGCGCGAAGACCGGGCGACGAACCCCTTGTGGTCAGGGTTAACTCCCTGGGTTAGGCAGAAAAGCCACATTTATCCCAGATTTACGGTATTTACAATGCAATCAAGGCCGAAAGGTTACGATATCCATAATACCGAGCCTAAGGGTTAACAAATCATGGCTTCTGGATACTAAAACAAACAACAACAAACAAACAGCAGATGGGTGGAGCTGGTCCTGAGTTTGTTATATGTACCGAAAATTGACAGGGGGAATGACTGACAGACATACTGATCGCGAGCTATTGATCGACGTGTTGACGAACAGATGGGGTAACATTCCCAGTGGAAGAAGAAATGTCTGACAAACATACTGACCGCAAGCCATTTTTGGGGGTCTTTCTGAACAAATAGTGGAGATTTCAAGTGAGAGGAGAAATGAACGACAGACATACTTACCGCAAGCCATTGGTGGGGGTCTTTCTGAACAAATAGTGAAGATTCCATGTGAGAGGAGAAATGAGTGACAGACATACTTACCGCGTGCTGTCAGCCGATCTCATGGTGAAACTGATGTAACCACTAGCGCCCACAGAACAGGTTGTTGTGCTATGTACACCCAAGTCTACACTGTAGCTACCTGTAGGTTCCTGAATAGCCTAGAAGTAAATAAAACGGTATATATATATATATATATATATATATATATATATATATATATATATATATATATATATGTGTGTGTGTGTGTGTGTGTGTGTGTGTGTGTGTGTGTGTGTGTGTGTGTTCATGAGTGTAATTCTACGGAGATTCCAGCGGATCGTCGCAAGAGCTAATAGAGTTCGTACTTTTCACGACTCTCTCGGCAGGCGGCTAGCCGTTCTGCTGAGAGAGATTGAACCGTATGGGATAAAGCCTTGTACAATAAAATCGATTCTCTGAACGTTAACCTTTAACCCTCCAGACTTTCTCATACTGTAATGCTCACTATATTGCTAGCTCCTAAAGTTCCCCTTGCAAATGATAGCTTTTTGTTAATTTAAAAAAAAAAATGATTCATATGACAAACTGTTAATTTTCTTCTTCTTCGTGTTCACTTGCTGAAAGGCGGAAAGCTTTAATTGTTCACCCACCTCTGAACATTAGACTTGTTCCAGAACCTGTGTTGCGTGCATATCCATTTTTACAGATCTGACTTATTTGTATGCAGAATGTTGGTTCCTTGCCTCTCAGGAAACCCTCGAATGGTCGACTCTAACGACATGCTTGTTGGGGAAACAGTTTGTCTTTTCCTGTCCCCCCCCCCCTTTCCTCCACAATGGGGCCTGGGTAGCCACATGGGAATACAAATTGATAATTAAATCCTACTAACAAGTCAGAGAATTAATAATGATAATTCAATAGACAAAGCATGAGAAGAGTATTCAACATACCCCAGCAGTCACTCCATGGATTGTGAAGTCTTCACATGATTTCCACAAGTAGTTATTGTTAGTAGATGTGTCTAGTGAAGAATAGCTGTAAAAATATGATGGAAATACGCTAACAGACATCGACATATACATACAGACACTCAGACAGGTAGACAGGCAGGCAGGCAATCAGACAGACAGGCATAGACCCACAGAAAAACAGACAGACAGACAAACACATCTGTCTGTCAGCATACATATACACACACACACACACAGAGACAGACAGACAGACAGACAGACAGACAGACAGACAGACAGACAGACAGACAGACGACACCCAGACAGACGGCACCCAGACAGACGACACCCAGACAGACGACACCCAGACAGACGGCACTCAGACAGACGGCACCCAGACAGACGGCACCCAGACAGACGGCACCCAGACAGACGACACCCAGACAGACGGCACCCAGACAGACGGCACCCAGACAGACGGCACCCAGACAGACGGCACCCAGACAGACGGCACCCAGACAGACGGCACCCAGACAAACGACACCTAGACAGACGACACCCAGACAGACGACACCCAGACAGACGACACCCAGACAGACAGACACCTAGACACACAGATACACAGACACACAGACACACAGACATACAGACATACATACACATACAAATGCTATCCTAGTTTATTGTAAATGCGCCTGAAAATGTGTTGGCTTCCTAATATAGTTTTTAACTAATTTCCAATAGGAATACAATTACTTTGTTTCTCTTTCGATTTGTCTAAATTCTTTTGAGTTATCATTTATCATATACGAATATGTTACAGACAACAGTGTGGTTCCAATTCTTTAATAATAATTTTTAAAAAAAATTTAAGTGTAATAATTAGGCAAATAATACAATTGCTACCATCATCAAAGAAATATGAAAGAATCTACTTTAACTTACGGATCGTTTGATCTCGCGTAATTCAAATCGAGGACTCCCAGATTAGTCTCGGCAGTACAGTTGCTGTAGTACGTGCATGTTGTAAATCCCTGTCCGTTAGTGAGATATGGTTGCAACAAACATACAACGATAGCAACTGATAGTAAAATAAACTTGCTCATGATTTTTTAAAAATATGTTCCAGTATTCTGTCAATGAATACTTCAAAACAATGTGTACGACGTCAGTTTGCAGAAAAAACGAAATAACACGACATAATAGCTGTATAATCAGCGAGTCACAGATGAATGACTGTAAATAATAATCCGTTTTACGCCTTCAGTAAAACAAAACACTATCTTATTTTCCTACTGTGATGAAACAGCGTTGTGCTGTTCTTCCTTGCCCAGACGCTACTTAAGATGAAACTAAACACCGGATAGGTATGTAGTCATACAGATAATTTGGTCTCACAAGGATAATTAAACTGGTAGCTATGCCGCCTTGAAAAAAAAAAAAAAACAGTAAATTTGGAGCCAAGGTAACTGTAGCAATAGTGCAAACTATAAATCCGTGCACAAAAATTCGTAAACCAGGCTCAGCGTTTGTTATCTGTTATGGTTTCGTTCTGTGGTTTGCCACTGCTTTCTGAACGACACAGCGCTTACTTTGTGGTCAAAGTCAAAGCAAAGAGATCTGACACTGAATCGTCTGCTGCTTTCTTTGAATCTTCCTATGTCGACATTTGAGAAACAGCTTTCACATCGCCCAAGCCATAAAACCCAACAAATGAAACTATAAGAAGACGTCAATTATTCACCTTACTACACGTGATCTAATGTGACCATTGGTCCACAATTCTGACTGTATCAACGTGATTGCTAAACTGTGTAACAGTCATATGTGTTTACTTCTGATAACAAACAGAACAAGACACACGTTATCCACACTGATAAATAAAAGGTTTACGCTGAAGGGGTGAAATCAGCAAAGTTTCAGTATCCTTCTCCTTGTCATCAACATTATGTAGAATTTCCGTATTGATACTAGTAGTAGCAGCAGTAGTAGTAATAGAAGAAGAAGTAGTAGTAGTAGTAGTAGTAGTAGTAGTAGTAGTAGTAGTAGTAGTAGTAGTAGTAGTAGTAGTAGTAGTAGTAGTAGTAGTAGGACTTTTACCCTACTAGGACATCACACAAGCGATAAACACCCGATGACACAAAGTACCACCATGCTAATGAGGATCACCGTGAAGAGGTCCCGGAAACCGCGTTCAGCCATTAAGCCATATTTATAATCGGGCTAAATTACGGCCCCTGGTAAGAGCCAGAGTTGGGCTTCGATGTAACGAAAAATTCATCCCACAAGGGGATGACTATGATTTTTTCCATATTTTTGCTTTCTTTACTGCCCATTAAAAGAACTTTCGCTAGTGATTGTGCTTCGTATATTATCAGGACTACGAATTAGCACCAGCATCTGCTCCTTCTATTTTGTTTTCATTGTGCATTTCAAAATCATCGTCATTGCACGTCAGTCATACCTATAGTCCTTAGGTCGGTAGGTCTTCTAAACATGTTTCTCTCTTAATGTGGTAAAGCTGATGACCACTGTTTTGTTCTTTTTTCCTTCTCTTTCTTCTGCGTTCATCCGAACATGTAATTTGCATTATGCCCGTTTACAGCACGGCTCCAAAAATTAGCTCCTTTTGGCCGAAGCATCCTACTATAGCAGGCATTTGTTGACAGAGTTAGCCTTACCGGTGTCATGCGCTGACGCGTGAGCCTGGTTTTCACTCGGTATATCTAGATTTCGCATCGAGTCAAAGAGAAATCAGTATCCCCGTGCTTGAAGTCTTTAGCATGTGTTGTCTCTCGTACAGCAGTAGTTATATCCATTATGTCCAAAGAAGGTTCACGTCCCGCAAGGGCATCAGATCTGTCGTTGCCTTGCACGCCGGTGTATATAGGACGAACATGAATTTGATGTTACTAAGAGTTGCTCTTTGTAATGACAGGGCCCATTCTTTTCGCTTGGATCCGGATTTATTTTTTTTAAAGTCATTTTCATAGAGTCACCCAGAAAACCTTCTTGGTCTCTAGCCATTCAGTAATTCTACTGGCTTCTTTACTGGTTGTTCCTTTTGTCCTTACAACAGAAGCCAAGGTACTTCCTTTGTATAGAACATTATCTTTATTGGATGTGCATTAATATATTATTGCTTTGACTTCTGTATGACTACTGCAGAAGGCACGTCACGAAATTGTATGTTTACTAAGGTAAGCATAGCTTGTCAGTATTTCGTGGCTATAGATATCAGCTCCTATCTTGGCTGAATGTTTTTGAATATTATGTACCAATTTAAAGACTTCTTCTTGCCCGCCTAGCTATTATCTACATTTTTTTAATTTTCTCTTTTTTGTGAGATCGCCCTTTTTTTCCCTCTGCCCCTCCCCTTCCCCAGTTCCACGTGTAAAGTGTGTGTTTAGGAATGGTGCGTGCTCTTTTTTAACTGAGTCTATTGGTATTATTTAAGAAGACAGTTAAGTGTCTCTCGGCTTTGCATGCTGTGTCCTTGATGCAGCCCAGAATAATCTGGATTGCTTCATTTGGATTCTTTTCCACATTTTTTGTTTTGTACTACTCGTGAGAATTTCTATTACATTTTCAACAACAGAGAAGATTATTCCTCGATAGAGGATGGTAACGAGATCCTGCCGGAACCACATCGCGGCCACGAAAAGTTGTACAACTTGAAACTGTCTAGCTTTGATTAAAGATCACTGTATCAACTTGGGATTAGTGATTACTGATTAGAAAGGATTATCATCACAGCACTCTGGATAGATCCATAGGTGCTCCGATCTCATTCCTCCTTAAGAGATCTACAAGTGTAAAACGACTGATGACGCCTGTTCTGTGTTGGGTAATGAAACGCCATGTCCCCTTAGTGAAATGTTCATTTCTTGCAGTTCCAGGCTGCACCCCCACGTCCATCAGTGTCTAGACAGGGATACGGAATCATGTCCTTTGGCGTGCTCCTCTGTACGGTAAGTGCAGCGCATGGCATTGATAACGCCACTTCTGTCCAGTACTGGACCAGCCATAGCAACCGCAGTGTCAGATAGATAGTCTGCACTCTCATTCCCTTGAACACCCGCATGACCTGACACAAAGATAAAGGTTAGGGCAGCTTTTCGTGAAGTGCTTAGTGTTGCAATTCATTCTTACCTGATCAATCCAGCTTTGATGTAAGCATATTCATCGAGTCACTAGGAAGGCAATAAACATGGGACTTACAACTCGAGCATCGATCAGACTGTATTTTAAATATTTTAACAGGCTGGTTTTTTGCGATCTCAGTATCGTCCAGATGGAGCTTGTGTGTGTACTAGGTGCTTGTTGAAACAGAAAAGTATCATTGTTGGAATAAAATCTTTATTAAACCAGGACCTTGTCTGAGAGGTAAAGCCGTTAGCTGATATTGACCCCATCACGCATTGACTGGCCGGTGATCTATAACAAATATAGAGAGCATCATGTGTCAAATATTCATCACTGGACATAGAAACGCATCATCTGTCTTTTTGAAGAGTGTTACATCGCATCATCTTGTCAATCAGTCAGATGGCATTGTTTTTAATCAGAGTGTTATGTCCTTCAGTGTAACTGAAACATGTCACTTGCCTCTTCAGTCATTATCATCATGTAGCAGGTCCTTTGCAGAACGTCGCTCTCATCACGGTCTCTCGCCAGCTCTCCCGCCCCATTTACTTTCGTACTCTAAGAGTCACTTATGTCCTGTGCCCATCTTTGTGATGGTCGGCCCCTGCCCCTCCTTCCTGGTACCATGCCTTCTGCTATTATTTTTTCCAATCCATCGTGGCGCTTGGTATGACCAAAATATTTCAGCTTCCTAGACAGGGTGATGTTTATTAGCCAAACTTCAGTAGCTCTCTTTTTCAACTATGTACAGTAGAACCTCGCTCAACGAGCATCTTTCATAACGAGTAATTCACATAACGAGCAAAACAAATTGTAAAAAATGGACTAGCTTAACAATCGACGTTTCACATAACGCGTGGCGAGGAGAGGAGAAGTCCCGGATTTTGCGCATGTTACATCAGTGTTTAGCACTCGTTCCAGTAGCATTGTCGCTTGTGATCACACATTCTCAATTGTGATATATGTACATGAATCCTTTAGGCCTACAATATGATCTCCCTGATGAATTTAAGTTAATCAAGATCCAGTTTCTGCCTCCCAACACCACTCCGTTACTCCAGCCAATGGACCAGCAAGTTATTTATAACTTTAAGCTCTACACTAAAGCACTCTTCGAGCATTGTTTTCAGCTGACTGAAGGGACCAACCTTACTCTCAAATAGTTTTGGAAAAATCCCTTCAACATCGCTGCCTGCCTCAAGATGACCGACAATGCGGGGTAAGGGGTTACCAAGAGAACCCTAACTTCTGCTTGTAAGAAGCTTTGGCCAGAGAACGTTGTCGATTTGTGACTTTGAGGGGTTCGAGACAATACCTGTGGAACTTGTAGTTAACGAGATTATGTCTTTGGCCACTATCATGGGATTGTAGGTGGATAACAGTGATATAGAAGAGCTTGTGGAAGAGCACAGCCAAAAGCTGACCACCCAAGAGCTTATGGAGTTGCATTGTGTTTCACAGCAAGACGTTTTAGAGGAAAGTTTGTCAGAGGAGGAGGGGGTAACACAAAAGCAACAATCTTCTGGCGAAATAAGAAAAATGCTGAAAGCATTGAAAACTGTTGCATCTCACATTGAGAATCATCACCCTAATAAGGAAGTGGCTATGCACGCTGCAAATTTAATGATAATGCGGTGTCGCATTTTCGCCAAATTTTGAAGCGTCGACAAAAACAAATGTCTCTGGACATCTTTCTAGTAAAAAAAATAATTAGCCATGTATCATAATTATTTCAACTTTTTTTTTTTCTGCAAATCGAATTCGCTTTCTATGTGGGTTCTTTCCGCGTTTGAAGAAAAGATTAAGATGGTTCACTCTTTTTAAATATGTATATAATTTTCTTTGAATAAACGTCATACATAGCATTTTGTGAGTATTTTTCTCGACATGGAACGCATTATCGTATTTTACGTTAAATTATATGAGAAAAATTGCTTCGCATAACGACTGGAAGGAATTA